ACTAGCCAGTTTAATTTTAATATGTCATTCGGTTTTTGGAAATACATGTAGTGTTAATCGAAATGCTAATAAAAGACAAAAAAATACTTGCAAGTTTTGTATAAAACACTAATTCAGAATATGAACCTTTAAGGCAATGAATAATAATGTGCCAAATTATTTTTGCTTGTTTTTGTATTAAATATTTTTTTAGGGGTGTGGGCATTCGTCTTTAAGATATATTAGACATAAATTAGATATACATGTATATTGGACTTATGAACTAACGGAAGAACGAGATCATGATATCGAAGGATAAGGATTAATACCAGATAAGCATTTATATGTTTCCTGAACTTAGAACTGTAAATTAAAAAAAATATTAATTACCAGTATTACAAGTATCCATCGTATGGAATACATTCCCCCTTCCCCTTTAGGCTCTTTTACTCATTTGGAATTTTTTTTTTTAACAATGACAACTTTTTTTTCACTCGCAAAGCTATGATATATCTGATGTTTATGATTGTATCATTTGTAATTTGAATTTTTTTTAATTCAATGCGTCACTCTTAATCATTACAGTTGGTATGTCCTTTTCCTATTTATCTGTATTTTCTTCCTGTTCAATGCTACAATTTTGCTTTTTATCTTAAATGTTCATTATTGTAATAATGCAAACTTACGTTGTCGCTTGGAGCATTTGATAGAAATCATTTTGTAATAATAATAATAATAATAATAATAATAATAATAATAATAATAATAATAATAATAATAATAGATCACATTTATAACGCGCCTAATACATTGTTTCTAGGCGCAGTGGTGCTGTTGTCCCAGCAGCCATTAAGTGAAGCAATGTCCTTACATGAAATAAAGCCGGGACGACAGCACCACGAATACACAATATTGTTCAGTACAAAATTACAGTAAGATACGCTATGTTACGTTACAAAATCAAAATTACAGTTTGTTACAAATAAATGAAACAAATGGGGGGGGGGGGTCAGCTACAGAAAGTGCTCTACCACCGTATCTTGTTTTCACACGAGGGCCAGGAATTAGTTGAAAGTGAGAGGAAGTTGAAGCACGCAACCTGGAGGAGGGGGGGGGGTTGGATTTTACAAGACTGAAAAGGTACGTGGGGCATTCACCGTTACGGATTTTAAAGGCAAAGAGAAGAATTTTAAATTGGATACGTTGAATTACTGGCAGCCAGTGGAGATTGCGGAGGATTGGAGTAATTTGTTAACGAGGTGTTCATTTTGTAGGCACATTTAAAGGGCAATCTAGCCTTTGTACTGATTTTGTTTGTATGAAAGCAGAAAAATATGATATTGAAACAGGAAGGCAATAGTTTGAAATAAATCGTACCTTTGATATGAAAGATTTAAATCAACAAATCTTTGAGATTTTCAAATCAGCAATCTGGTTAGTGCATTGTGACGTACAAACGGTAGTCACGGACAACTCTCCCATTTGTCATGTACAAGAATATCATTAATTCCTGTTTTGTCCTTAGTCCCTTCAGTACCACTCAAAGATATCATGTATATCATATTAGTGTAGTTCCTCTAAAAAGAAAATACCCTTTTGAGTAACATTTCGGGGAAAAGGTGACATTTATATTGTGTGTTTGCACAAAATGATGGGAGAGTTGTCCTCCACTAAATAACTGAGACAGTACCAAATAGGGTGATTTGAAACTCCAATGCACATAGTGATTGCAAGTCCCAAAAGTAATACTTATTTTTAATTTCTTGTGTGATTTGTTCACGATTTCGTCAAACTGCTTCTCTGCTTTTTCTGCTTCCTCGCAGAGCAATTTGCTATTAAATTCGAATTTTATTTTAACCTCTCCAGCGAGGAATAAAGATGGATGTGCTTTACAAGTTTTGTTATTATTTTCTTCTCTTCTTGTTGATACAGGGCCCCATAGTCTTGTAATTATTTTAACTGAAAGATTTAACTTTTTTTTTTATAGTAAATCTACAAAGTTATTAGATGAATGAGTATATAAAACAAAGAGATATGTAAATAAATGAATGAATAAATAAATAAACAAATAAATATCAAGTTGCAGAAGTTTTGCAGGTCCAAGCATCATGTAATTGTGAAGTTATGGAGAATTATCTAACAACCCTGGTGTCACCAGACTTTCCTGATCATTACCCACCGAAGACTCGGCGAGAATGGAGCTTCGACATATCCCCTGGCGCAATGGTAGGTCTATCAACATAAAAATATTTCTTCGACAATATGGGCACCTCTAGTGACTAATATATTTGAAGGCGGAGAAAAGGGGCCCTTTTGTGCCTGCCCTGTCAATTTCAAACAAAATATTACAGATTTGTTACTCTTACTCTTAAATGCTTGTTCGCACAAACTGCAATGTTGCTTTGTATTGGATTCTAAAGATTTCAATCAATCTATTCCAGCTTTATATCAAAATAAATGTGTTAGGGCCGCGATATCCCCTAATGCAAATCTGGGCGCCTAAAGAAAGATTGCTAGCTGAACCACAGGGTACGTATAGCCAGTTTAGATGTATTGCCCCTCCAGAGACCATGTAATGTAATGTAAAAGATTTAAATTGTATTGAAAAGTTCATTATACATCAAATAAAGGGTAAAAGAATTCCATTTTACATTTCGATTATTTTCCTAGATTTTTTTCTCGTCGAACGTATTTCAAATGAGTGGTAAACGTATTTGTTTTCCTCTAAAACTTGCAATGCAGGGTCACATTAAGATCAACATCCTCCAGGAAGAACATTTTGGGGATCCTCTTACCCTGACACACAGCAGCGAAACTGCACACGGCACTAACGTCACAAACTTTCCATTGGTCAGTGGTAATTTGACATCACTTCTACTGCCAGAGGGCGTGGTGACGGTCGCTTCTGCAGTGACGGGTTTCTCATACATGAGGGTTTTGCCTTTGAAGTCAGGACGCTTCGCGTAAATGATATTTTCTATTTCAAAATAGCATTGGTTGAAAACATGTATAAGTGTTAACAATCATTGTTTTATTGATGGTTGTACAGGAACCGCATATTTTACCAAATGGGCAAGAATTTTGGAAACTACAAATGGTTATAAATTACCCTTGCTTGAAACTTACGCATAAGCCAGTGATTCTAAACACATTAAAGGACTAAAATTCAATCTCTGTAAAATAGGCCTAACGATATAACAAGCATGTTGCTGTTGTTATTGTTCTTGCTGGTGATCCTGTTCCTGTTGTTTTTTTAATAAGAAATGCAACTATTAATATTCATATTCATATTCAAATTTATTGTCCAATGATTGGAAATTTGTTTCATTTGCAATTCAATACAAGGTTACACGTTATAAACATCAATAAGATACATATGGGTACAGAGTAGAACATTTAACTTGGACATAGATAACAACAAATGCGATAGTTCAACATGCAAACTAAAATTCGGTTCATAAATTAAGTAGTTAAATTCAGTTCAAGTTCGGATTAAATTCATTCGCAATTCAGATTAAATACAATTAAAAATTTAAACCAATTTAATTCGTAATTCAGATCAAATCCATTTCAAATCCCGATCACATTCAGTTCGTAATTCAAATTAGAATATAATTAACAAAATCAAATTCCATTCAATTTATAATTCAAACTAAGTAATAAAATTAAATTCATAATTCGGGTTAAATTAAGTTCACAATTCAAATTCAATACAATTCATGATTCAGACAAATTCAATTCATAATTCAGAAAATAATTCAATTCAAATCCCGATCGCGTACAATTCATAATTCAGATTAAATTAAATTGACAATTCAGGTTAAATAAATTCATAATTCAGATTACTACAATCTATAATTCATATCAATTCAATTCGTAGTTCAGATTAATATAAAATTAACAATTCAAATCAAATTCAATATAATTCAAACTAAGTAATTAAATTAAATTCATATTTCGGGTTAAATTAAATTCACAATTCAAATGCAATACAAGTTATTCTTCAGACCAATTCAGTTCATATTTCATAATATAATTCAACTCAAGTTCCGATCACCTACAATTCATAATTCAAATTAAATTAATTTACAATTCAGATTAAATGCAAGTTATAATTAAAAATAGGTGATTACATTCAGTCATAATTCGGATTAAGTTAGGTTCGCAGTTCAAATTATATTCACAATTCAGATTAAATTCAGTTTATTATTCAGACTTAGATTAAACCCTCCTCGTTCATCAGCCTGATTGAGCTTGGCACAAATGAATTGAGAAACCTGCTCGTTCTGGACCTTAGAGATCTTAACCTGTTTCCTGACCTCAGGGCTACATAATTATTATTTAAGGGGTGACGGCTGTTATGGTAGATTGATTTCGCCTTGTCACGTACTCTATTTCTACATATATCTTCGAAGTCTAGATTCTTCCCTACAATTTTTTCCGCTTGTTTAACAATTCTTTTTAGCATAGACAAGTCTACTTTCCGACATGCTGTGAACCAAACAACGCAGTCGTTTACTATTATGCTCTCTATCACAGACTTGTAGAAAAGGTACATTATTGTGCGGTCTACGTGAAAGGAATTGAGTTTACGAAGGAAATATAACCGTTGCTGCCCTTTCTTGTACAGCTCCCTACAGTTGTCATCCCATTTCAGCTTGTCATTAATTACAGTGCCAAGGTATTTGTATGATTTCACTATCTCTATTTCTTTTCCGTTTATTTTCATTGGGCAGCTACTTGGATCTACGGGTCTTACTTTCCTAAAGTCAATTATCATCTCTTTTGTTTTCGTAGTATTGAAGTCCAGAAAGTTTTCATTGCACCACTCAGTAAACCAGTTTAGATAATCTTCGTATTCAGTCTCACTTCCTCTAATATTCCCAACAATAACAGTGTCGTCCGCGTATTCCAAGACTGAGACATTTTCCGAAGATGAGCGGCAGTCGTTGGTATACAACACGAACAGGATGGCCGAGAGCACGCACCCTTGAGGAGACCCGATGTTGGTAACAATGGACTCACTCATTGTTCTGCACCCGTACTTGCTGCGTTCGGTTCTGCAAGAAGTCCACGATCCAAAGTATGAGCGATGGTCTTACTTCAAGACGCTTCAACTTCTCAACAAGCACATGAGGGCGGATGGTATTGAACGCAGAAGAGAAGTCCACGAACAATGCTCGTACGTACGATTTCGTCTCTTCTGTGTGCTTGTATAGCAGATGTGTTAGATAAAGGGTAGCGTCTTGAACAGATTTGTTTTGTTGGTATGCATACTGATGAGGATCAATCAGCTCTCTGATTGGCTGAAGAAGACTCTTTAATATGATACGCTCAAAGCACTTCATTGCGATTGGTGTAAGTGCCACAGGCCGGTAATCATTAAGCTCAGATGGACGGGACTTCTTAGCCACTGGAATGATGGTGGATGTCTTCCAGCAAACAGGAACAACTTTCCTGTCGAGCGAAGTTTGAAATAGCAAACGAAAGGGGGTTGCAAGTTCCCTTGCACAATTTCGCAGAAGCTTTCCGCTGATATTGTCCGGACCCATAGCTTTCCTCGGATTAAGTCGGCTGAAGTAAAGAGAAACATCATTCTCCTCGACCCTCAGAGATTCTTCCTGGGAACGGATTAACTCATCTCTCTGCGCTTCGATGACTTCGATAAAGATACTGGTCGCACTAATAACTCATGCGTTCAAGCTTGTCTCACCAACACACTCGACTTCATGTACCGTTCTGGAATGCAGTTTATTGACATGATCGATAGGTGTGATAAGGTTGTCGACTGTCACGGCTTCTCTGATGAAATAGGCTGTCTGACTCCTGGTGTGTTCACATTCTCTTTTCTTGAGCATGTTACCCGGAGATCGGTTTTGTGTGTGTGTGTGTGTGTGTGTTAAGTGTGTTAAGCTATGGTCACAACACCAAAAAGTAGCCTGCTCGGCGGCTGGGCGGGGAGTTTTGAGCCAATTTCGCCCGGGCACCGAGCGGCGGCTGCCCAAGTACCGCTTGTTTTTGGGGCATCGCTCGGTCGCTGCTGAAGTTTTAGCGTGCATATAAAATTCGGGCGGCGCCTGCTCAGTTTCACTCGCCGCTTGGTGGCCGGGCGGTCGCCGCCCGGGCCCCGACCTAATCGGTCGCCGCTGGTAGATCTGGCGTCCAAAATCGGTCGACAGCCTTTGACCTAGCGGCTTCGATTTTTGACCTAAATCGCTCGGCGGACGCTCGATTAAGTCGGTGCCCGGGCGGCTAACGGCCGGGCACCGAGAGTATTTTGGTGCCCCGCCGATCATCGGCACCAGGCAATATCTTTAAAATCAGCCGACGGCCGGTGGGAGACCGCTCGGGAATCGATGGGTCATCAGTCGGTCACTGCCGGGACGCCACCCGGAGAAGCTCCCCGATTTCGCCCAGTCTTGACCTAGAATCGACCAGTGACTGATGGGAAATCGACAGGGCACCGCCCAGGCATCGCTGGGGCTCTACGGCCTCCTCGACTGCTCCACAAATTGTTGGGCGATGCCTAAATTCCAGCGGCGACCGAGCAGGCTACTTATCGGTCGGTCGCTTCTTTGAATCGTGACCATATCTTTTGATAGGGGGCACCCAGCCGGTGTGTCGGGAGGAAGCGAAACATTCCAATTCATCAAAAATATTGCCTTGTCACGATCGCGACTACTTTCGAAAAATATACCTATCAAGCACTTTTAATAGTCTTGTGCGTCACTTAATTAATGGATGTACAATAGAAAATTAAAATTGCCCTTGAGTCGATATTTCGAAAATAGTTGCGATTGTGTTCCTTGTGTTTGGTTGGGCTTTGTTGACTGCCCTGGTAATCAAACTATGAATATCAAAACCTACCTTGACGGAAGCCGCCATTGGGTCACTTTCGATAGTCTCTGCGTTTACACTCAGCCTTTGCTGCATACAATAAAGGAATGGCATTTGCAGTCATTTCTGACCTATCGTTGCAGGTACACTTGTGAATATAACGATATCCAAACGTCAGATGGACAATCAGACAAGGCAATCGTTTTTTATATCTTGATCCGCCCCTCCCCCCTCCAAAAAAAAAAGAGAAAAAAATGACGTATGACATGAATGTATACAACAAAAATCACCATCATCATCGTCATCATCATTATCACCATCATCATCACCATCACCATCACCATTGTCATCATCATCATCAGCATCATCATTAAAACATTTGTTTGTTTTTCTTTTCGTAGACGTAGAGTGTCCTTACCGGTGTCACGATACCGACATATACCTACTCGATAGACTTCGATGCGACGGATGGTATGACTGCCCTCAACGCGATGATGAAGACAACTGCGGTAAGTTGAACAGCCTCCCCCCTCCTTCTTCGAATCGTCCTCATTTATGAATTAAGTAGATTGAATTTTGAAATTGCATTATTGTGACTCCATAATCGTGGAAGTGTTGTGGCGCAGTGCTCCATCATTTGGCTCTTAATCCAAGGGTTGAAGGTTCGAATCTCAACCTTACGTCTTTTTGCAAGACACTTATCCACATTTGCCACTCTCCACCCAATAACATAATAATATAATAATGTAATAATCATCGCAGGGGTCTCAGGGAGAACATGATGCTGATGGGCTTCCCTTGGTTAACAAAATGGTTTTCATTATCATTTATAGTATTATTACTATTATCATTGTTATCATTAATATTTTTAGGGGTTTTGGTACATTGTATTTCTCAAATGACCCATTATCAACTTTGCAAATCGAGGTAAATCGTATTCCCGAATTCTAACTGTAATAAGTGTTTTTCACAATGCAATTGTATGACGCAATCGCTTATCCTAAATCGTTGCCCTCATTAGACTATCCGTCAAACATATTGCAAAGTGTTTATTTTTTGTTGCACAAGGCCTATGCATATGGGTTTCGCTAGGTGGTAGAAATTTGAGAGCTTAAATAACGAAACTTTTTGTTTGAATGAGCCAAATAGAGTTCAACAAAAAAGTTTGAAGTGTATAAAAATTAAAAGAGGGTGAATTTAACGTTTCTAATTCAGAAGGGATTAATGTAAAAGAGTGCAGTGTAACTCTCGCATGGAATATATGACAAGCAATAGTAAGATCCGATTTTATACTTTGTAAGCCCGGAGAGGGAAATTTCGATGAACAAAACAACTATAATTATCAATATCATTATTTTATTTGTTTGTTATGTGCAAAAATATTCTTAGTATTTTCACAGTTCAATTTAAGGTAATTTTCTCATAGATCAGAAGGCCTTTGTGACTGTGTTATTAGCTTTGTGATCTAACCAATATGCTATTATAAAAGTGATAACGGAATATATGAGAAGCAGTATAATTGTAAGTCGACTTTATGCTTTGCAAGCCCGGGGAGGGAAATTTCAATGTACAATATGATATCATAAAAGTGATAACGGAATATATGACAAGCAGTATTGTATTAAGTCGACTTTATGCTTTATACATTTCAATGTACAATATAATATCACAAAAGTGATAACGGAATATATGACAAGCAGTATAATTGTAAGTCGACTTAATGCTTTGCAAGCCCGGGGAAGGAAATTTCAATGTACAATATGATATTATAAAAGTGATAACGGAATATATGACAAGCAGTATAATTGTAAGTCGACTTTATGCTTTGCAAGCCCGAGGAGGGAAATTTAAATGTACAAAAAAACTATATTGTTACCAATATATTGTTTTATAGTTTTTTGTGCAAAAAGTATTCTTATTATTAATATAGTACAAGGCACTGTTTTTTAACTATGACCAAATACCTAAATGGCCCTTTGAGAGCCTGAAACTTTCCGAAGATAAAGAACTAGAAATCAGTAACAACTTTTTCTAGTAGCATGGACCTAGGTTAACCTCCCATAGCTTAACGAAAAATTTTCATCGTTGCTTTATGCGCAGTAGGTATCCTTGAACAGCAAATTGTTTACGAAATTTTGTAACAAAATTGACATGCCATTTTGGTCGGAGCTGAAAAAAATATATAACCACAAACAATATGTTTTTTTTCTATTGATGATTAATGAGCATAAGTGGATCTTAAAGAAACTTAACAGTAATCTGAATCAACTCCCCTATTTTAATGGAAAAGTGCAATTGAAAATGGCGTTTCGGACGTTACATTTTCCGTAAACAATGTAGACCCTTATTTAACCCACTAGAACAACAAATTAATGAGATTGTATATGGTTTGAGTAAGTTTATTAGTTACTCCAAGTGATTATATTAAAAGAAAATATAATTTAATTATAGTAGCGCTTATGTTAGAAATATACTTAAAATTTGAAAAAGTCGTCTCATTTTCCGTAAACAGTTTTGTAACGTCCGAAACAATTTTCAAGTTGAAGTAGCAGAAAATATATGAACAGCAGGATATATCTATCATAACATTTTGTTAACTTCTCATGGCAGCTACCCACCAAAACAAAGAAATCTGCAATACATTACTACAATACTATTTTATAGTTAAAACCAATTTTCCGTTAACAGTTGTAACGTCCGAAACAAATGTAACGTCCGAAACAAAAAACACCAATAAAATGATAATAATCCATATTTTAAGGCATCTAGAGTGAATAAATCATTATGAAATAAGTTATTATAAGTCTTAACACAAGTCAAAACACAAATCAGGTCTTTCAAATCCAATAATTTTGTGTAAACTCAAGAAGGGTGTTTCGGACGTTACACTATTTGATTGTTAACACATAATTTGCAAATTTCAACTAATTTTCTATCATATGTGCAAGTTACGATTTCACAATGAACACTCCTGTTAAAAACACTATTTTGATAATTTCATTTAGATCTAAATATAAAAATATGAAGAAATATGATGCAAAAAATCAAATCTTCCGTAAAATATCTAAATTTTCTGCAAAATTGACTTATATAACATAAATATTGAAGCCACACTTTGTGGTGCAAGGCATTCCTGGCTGCTTTAGTATATCCTTAATTGTAATTTATCAGAAACAATCTCAATAAAAGTGACTCATAAAAATTATTCAGCCATTTTAACAGCACTTTCTATTATGCTGTAGCACGTTTCGGATGTTACATTAAACTGTTAACAGACATTTTCATACTTTAACTAGTTCAAATGAGGGGCAAAGATAGATGTGAGAATAGCAAATTTTATTTGTTCAACCTCTCCTTTTGCTATTTACATCGCTGTGTCTTTGCAAATCATCACGTTTTCATTTTTACAGAGGTTGTTCCAAATTATGTCATATAACCAAAGATTGTATGGTCAATCTAAACTATCTGGTAGGTTACAAAAATCAAAATCACCCACTTAAGCAATACCCAGTGTGCATGGTCATGACATGGATATGATACAGGTATATGAAGTTGATAAAATCAAGCAAATTAAAATGTTTTTCTAAAAATTTATGGGAAATATGGATTTTCATTTAAAAATACCTTTTAAAAAGGGCACTCAGTACACGTAACTAATCTGTGTAGAAAGTACATACATGTATAAAAGAAAAGGGCATTACCAGTAATACCTTAT